TTACAGAACACGCGATATTTCGAATATCAAAAAGATAATATTTCCATCATATAATTTATTCAAGTTTTTAAATTTTTTTCCCAAAAATTGGTTAATATCACAAAGTTTTCTTTTATCCAATTTATTTTCATTATTGATCACAAAACGCCTGTTGTTATTTTTAGTGATGAGATATAAGCAACGAATAATTAATTAAAAATAAGATAATTCAATTTGATAACTGCTAAGATTAACATAAATATTTTTTCTGTCGCAGTCTTTCACCAAATATTATCAATTTCTTTATTTTTTTAGCGATATGCAAAAAAAAAAACAATTAAATCAAGCAAATATTATCAATTCTTGATAAATTCAAGACTTTTTTAAACGGAACAATTCGCTTGGACGAATATGAAAAGGAAGAAAAAGTAAATAAATAAATAAATAACAATTCGATTAATTTAAATGATGTAATGTCATCAATGAAATATGCAAACGAATGATTTTAAGATATTTCCCTTCCAACTCATCCATCCACCCATTTGTTTATTCAATCCCCAACGAGTAATTCCATTCTATGCATATATTATTTCGTAACTTTTTAAGCAAAATGATTTATTTGGAAAAATATTAAAGGAACAAAAATGAATACACAGATATTGAGAGTTTTTTTTATTATGTTCATAAAAAAGAAGATAAAAAAAAACAAAACAAACTAGCGAAAAATATTGTGAACAAATCATTTATCGTTCGTTTTTCATTTTCCAAAATTGGAATAATTAAAATTAATCTCTCGGAGAAAAATGTTACTGTTAGTCATTTCAGAAAAGTAATTTTTGAAGCAATTCTAACTACTTTGTCATTCATAGTTTTTTTTTAAAGTTTAAAAGTTGTTTATGTAATGAAAAAAATTTGACGATTGATTCAGTGATTGATTGATATCTTTTTTTGCTTGTATCAATCAGTTTTGTTCTTAAATTTTTTGTTTCAGTGCAAAATACATTAGTATGAAAATTTTTGAATGGGACTGCTTGAATATTTAAATTTACGAGCATTTGCGGAAATTGTAATAGTTCTGTTTAGACATACAATTTTTGAATTTTACATGGTTTATGAAAATGTTCATGGCAATACTACAATATCATTTATTTATTTTAAATTCATTTATATTAGCAAAACATAGACAAAAAATAATTCGTCGCATAAAAATTGAGCACAAATAACAATTTATCAAATATTTACAATTATTAAAAGCTGAAATAATTCGAGATGATAAAATGGATCAAAGGGTCATTCTTCATTGATACGCTTCAAATTAGTATTTGCCATCTTTTTAATTTATTAACCAATTAATATTCCTATGATTTGCCATAAAAAAAGAAAATAACAATAAACTATAAAATTTGCTTATAACAGATATTCTGACTATTTCAAACTTTTGTAGCGATAAACTGCAGATCATGAGGCCAATAATACAGATCATAGGATTAATTCGTACGCTTTAAAGGATAATTGAATGATCCAAAGAAAAAAAATTTAACAAAATTCGATCATATTTTCCTAAAACATGTAATTCATTCCTTGAAAATCCGGCTTTTTTTAATTTATTAAATTTTTTTAATATCCAAAATTGAAATTTAGATTCTATGTTCGAAACTTGTAAAAATTATTGACTTATAAATATGTAAGAATGAATGAAATTTTAACATTTATAAAATAACAAACAAATATATCAATAAAAATAACAAAAAAAAAAGAAAAAATAAATTTACACGAAGAATGCAATGGATGAAAATATAAAAAATGTGCAGTCTGCATGCACTATACTTGTATTTCTTCCAGTGCATGTCCACCTGTTGATAGGCCACTTAATGAGTTAACTTTATTATTTGCTTGGACCATTGCTACTCGGCCATGCTTTGGACATGTTGGACTTACACCAATTCGCAATGATCCAATCGATGTTTTATTTGTCGTTGATAATAATGGTTCCTAAACATAAAAAAAACAAATTTCAATTTACATAAATCCATAAAATTTTAATCCATATTTAAAATTCTTCACATAAAAACAAATCCATATAAAACTTACCCTTTATAATAAATAACTTGGAAGAATTGTAAAATTAAATGATCGCCGTTTACATTAATAATAATTTATTATTTATTGATTTTAACATTTCAAGGACAAGAAAATTTAAATTATGTGAAACAAAAAAAAAATGAAAATTAATTTGCATTTATACATTTTTCCATAAAATAAATAATTTTGATACTAATTTTTAATTTTAAACTTTACTCTATGTGATAACGTAATTTTTGGAATGAAATCTATTACTTAAAGATATAAATAAAATAGTTATAAATTTAAAGGAATTTTTTTTGTGTGTAATACAAGTGGAAAATTTTGAAAAAGAATTTTTAATACTTTGATTAAAATTTGAAAAATAATTGGAAATTAAATGCGAACAAAAATATCAAATCGCAATGAAATATAATGAAGTATTTATATTGATTTACCTGTTCTTGAAGGTTACATTTAGTAATTAATGTATCATTATGTGATGTATCATTGTAGTTCTGATAAGAACTCGTACGATACGTTTCAAATTCGTTCGTTTTTGATGATGTTGAATCTAATGGTGCAGTTATTGAGTTTGCTATCGATGGACGTTGACTGAGTGATGATGGTGGTGGTTGTTGTGACATGTAATTTAATTGCTGTAAAAATTTATAAATTATTGAAATTGATATTTTAAAAAATATTAAAATGAGTTAACCTCTATCAACAATTTTGATAGATATTCAAAATTATATTTGAAATTTATTTTAAGCAAAATTTGATTAATTTTCATATTATTTTACATTCAAAATTTATTCGA